AGCATTTTCTCATCAGTAGGTTGTTTCCTGGAATAAGACACAATAAATACATCATAAGTTTGATTTCCTTAGAGAAAGAATGTTCTTTTATAATGAATATTGCAAGCGACAGAGTTTCCAGTGTTGCAAATGACTATTTAAATATGTGGAGAGATGTAAGCTGTTGTAAGGACAGCAAACACAGCTGGAATGTTCAATGACAGACCCGGTAACAATTCTCTTCATCGGGAATGTTGCACATTCACAGCCTTATTGTTCTCCACTTCTAAACATATGTGTTTAAAAATAGACTCTCATTAAGTCTGCGAAGACTCACCCTTCAAGTATTAAGGCCTCGGATGTCCTTAGCATATATTGTTCGAGTGATATAGGCCAGAGAGTCGTGTGTTCCAGGCAGGTCAGCCAGCAGACCCTTCTGGCAGGCTGGTCACCCCCATGAGTGACATGAGAGAAAGGGTTTGGTGTCAGAAGCCTACGAATAGGATTTATGATCTCAAGAGACATACCCCAAAGCAGGCAGAGGAACAGGTGCTTACAGAGGGCATGTTACCTTCCGATGTCTCTCTGAGCCTGGAAATTTGGAGATGCATGTTACTATCTCTATTTTATAGGAAACTGAAGGCCAGTGAGGTTATGTAGATTGGCCAGGTTCACAGAGAGGTAAGTGGCAGAGTTGGCATTTGAACTCAAGTCTGTCTGAAGCCCGAGACAATGTCCTTAATGACTCCACGCATGGCCTCCTGAATGCTATGACCACAGCAGTGTCCTGGCACCAACACTCTGAATGGTATCATCAGGACGGGATGGAAAAATCTGGATCTGGATCCAGACCAGAAGCACGTCTTCCTTCTCGATGTCTTTGGCCAACTTGTCTTTCAAGGAAACAGCCTCGAAGAAGAAGAAAACAGGCCTGATACCATCTCTGCTGCTGCGAAAGAGAGTCAGTGCGTCTTTGCAGCTTCGATTGCTTCACGGCGTGACATGATCTACAAGCCTTCCCCTGCTGACGTCACAGGGTTATTGTGGTACTAAATAGAGTCTCAGATGTAAAAACATGGGAAATACTTGACTCATTTAGGACCATGACTCTGCAGTGACTCAGACCTCCGAGAGGGGTGACAATCATCTCTGCTCCACCACTGTGCTTTGCTTCTGTGGTGATGTACCCGCAGCCCCTGCTCCTTGTCACCATGTCGCAAGTGCTTCCAGCTCTCCCCCCGGTTGCAACATTAAAGCACAGACATTCAACTGGCAGAATCAGAAGCCAACAGATGAATTCTAGGACACTAGTAATACAATCCAAGTCTCCCAAGTGGTTTGGGATTTAAATTCATCTTATCAAACAGGAGCGTGTATCATCTGGAGTCTCACCAGTTTATAGGCTTCAGGGAGCTCCCAGAGCGTCTGAAGTTGCACAGAAAATTGTGTATATGTGTACATGTCCCTTTTGCCGAGTGGAGGTCTCAGAGTTTCCATCAGACTTTTAAAGGACACAGTGAATCTACAAGTTACAAATTTGTTCTCGGAGAGTTCACTGTGACAGTCACCTAAATTAGAATCTCCAGTCACACCTGTTGCTCCCCTTTCTCTTAACCAGCATCCGATGGATCATCGAGTCCTACCTTCTGATATCTCCTAAACTCTAATTTCCCCCCAAACCCATTTTTGTAGTTGAGACTTTCTCAGCATCACTGCAGGAGTATTGAAATGTTTGGAATGGTCTTCCTACTTACATTCTTGCTACCTCTGAGCCGTCTTCAGTAGTATCACAGTGACTTTTCCAAAACACATGGGTAATCTGTCACTACTCTGCTTAAGATGGCTCTCTGTCATCTTCAGGGCAAAGCTCAACCTCTTTCCACTCTATCACGGCCATCAAGGACCCTGGCTGCCTGGCTCCATCACAACCTTTTAGGCAAGTCCATTCCCCCTTCCTTCAATGGACTCCGTTTTGGGTGATCCCTCACTGTCATATTTTGATTTTGCCACTTCCTCTGTCTGGAATACCCTTTTGCTTCTACAGCTAAGAAACTCCTTCTCAGTCTTCAAGGCCCAACATCATAATGTCACCTCCTCCTCACTTTTCCCCTAGAATAGTGAGTGACTCCTTCCTTTATGCCCCTAATCTCATTTCTCTTAGGATTGTTTCTACCAAACTGTATTTCCTTAATTCTGTAGATCTCTCCTTCCCATACTGTATTCTGCCCTTCCTATTTTCAGAGAAAACCCAGATGAGCAAGACCAGTCATTGACCAAAAATGCTTGGAGTACTATAGTTTATAAAGTTTAGTTTATATAGTTTATAAAGAAATAAATGACTGTTATGTAAAAAATTAATAATGTAACAATGAATGTTGATGAAGTGGGAGCGCTATAGAGAACAGAAAGGGGGACCTGGGGCCAGTGTGAAGTTTTCACCTTGCCTGATAAATCACACCTCATCATGGTTACTGCTTTGACCCATGAAATGGGAGTAGGTCAATTACAGTGTATTGGAGAGAACTGGGTCAATGAATACAGGCTACTGTATTGAATTAGGAGTTAGGAACCCTAGATTTTTAAGATTAGCCCTGCTGTCAACTCCTTATTTGGCTTTGGCCGCTTTGGTTCTCCTCTAAGTGTCTCAGTGATCTTAGCAAGACGGCGTTGAACCAGACAATGTCTCCAATCACTTCTAACACTCACATTTTATGAGTCTAAGAAAATAAACCACAACCCTACATTCTGGGCTGGTTTTCTGACCCTGTTTGGCAAAGACAAGTGGAGCTATGACAAGTACCTCACCTCAATAATAAAATGTGCCTTTCATGCTAGGGCCTTCATCCAGGGGGTAGTGGGAAGTAACATGTTGGTGGTATTGCTCTAGGATTCTGCAAAGATACCTCAATTGTGTGAAACACTGGCATGAGTGTCTAATTTCCCAGAAGAGTTTTTATGGGGCGCTCCTGAGTCTAAGATCCCCCCCTGCTCTGCAAGATCATCCAGTATTATGACTCAAGGCTTGGTAAGTTAATAGGAGGGTCAAGAAGCCAAAAGGCCGTGTTGGAAATCAAAATCTTAAATCTGGACCAAACCCCAAATCTGGCTTGAGCTCCTGGGAGCATATAAGCATGAATCAAATGTCCTTCTCTTAGAGACAACAGGCAGAAAGAAACTTTTATCGATGTGTTGTGAACTATTCCTCTCATGATAAAAAAAACAAAAACAAAAAAACAAAAAACAAAAACCAATGTCACCCCAGTAAATTTAATTAGAAGAAAAGAAAAGAAAACAACAACATTTTGGTGTAGTGAGAGGATACCAGTTTCAACCTGCTGTGTCAGTTCCCTTAGGCTCATCACATAATCTCCCTGGGCCTCAGTTTGCACATCTGTGTAATAGGGACAGCCTTCCTTTTACTTCTCAGTGTTGGAAGAAGCAGGTGGGTCTTTGTATGTAAAAGCACTCTGTAGGTGGTGAGATGAAAATACCCTTAAAAGGGTTGGTGATACTTGGGGGAAAAAATCATAGAAAATTCTAGCCTCTCTCCAATTCTTGACTCATCATATTGCTAAACCTGACTGGTTTATCTTCCCAAGATGATGAGTTTGGAACTTAAACTTGAGTCGCTTAATCTCTGAAGAGAGAGTCAAAGAGTGCTAGAACCCTGAACGTGTAGTCCTGAAGTTACAGTGATTACTAAACATCAACACTTACAGTGGTCACGTCCACTAACAAATAACGTTTACTCTCCACCAGACACTGATTGCAGAAGAAAGTAAAAACGAATATTTATTTGCTTTGGATGAGTTGTATATTTGAACCCGTATCAAAATCACAGGGAGCAGGGACCTGGAATCAGCCTCTGTAGCCTGTTCAGCCTCGCTCCCAAACCCTCACCTGGCATGACTACTTTTCTCCCAGTCCTGACTACCTCTGTTAGTTTTCCAGAGCTGCCATAACAGATGACCGAAAACCGAGTGGCCCAGCCAGGAGCTCCTTTGCCTCCCAGTTTGGGAGGCTGGGAATCTAAGATCAGGTGTTAGCGGGGCCAGGTAACCTCTGACGGTGTTAGGGGAGATTCTGCTGCAAGCCTCTTGCCTCGCTTCTGCTGGTTCTTGGTTTGTGGGCGCATAGCTCCAGTCTCCACGGGGTGTTCTTCTCCTTGGGTGTGTGTCTGTGTCTAAACTTGCGTTTTTGTAAGGAAGCTAGTCACATTGGATTAGGGGTCCCCCTACACAATATGACCTCATTTCAACTACTTACATCTGCAATGACCCTACTCCAAATAAGTTCCTAGTCTGAGGCGCTGGTGGTTGGGACTTTAACACATGAATTTGAGGGGGGACACCATTCACACCAAAATACCACTTTTTTTTTTTTTTTCAAAAGAGAAATCTTTCCCCTTTGGACTCTTTATCTCTACCGCCCACCATCATGGTTGTGGGCTCCCTTTGGCTCATTTGATCTATCTCCCTGTCTTACTTACCCTCTGGGTCTTGGGCTTACAAGATTAGTTTATTGAAGTTTATGTTAAATAGGATGGGCAATGGATAATGGATCCTATAAAAGGAGAGATAAAGAGAATTAAGAGTTATTTGAGGTGGACTGACATCAGGATGCCTCGGGGATATCTTATTGGCAGCATTAACTTCCTATCGGGAAATAGCCAATAACTTAATATAATACAAGTGTCTCCATTCTTTCCCTGTTTTGATTGACATGGCTCTCTTCTATCATTCTACTTTAGGCATGGGGAGAAGGATACCCAACATTTCTTGCAACATTCCCACTACTTTTAGTATCTTCCAGTACAGGGGAACTGAGGAAGAGACTCTCGCCGTGTATTCATTTCAACCTAGGTCAGTGGTTTTCAGCTGCGTTGATTTGCTTCTCCAGAGGACATCTGGCTGTGCCTAGACCAATCCTGGTCGCTGCGTTGAGGAGAGGTTGTATCTAGTGGGTATAGGCCAGCGATGCTGCTAAGCATTCTCCTATGTACAGGATAGTCCTGTACAACAAAGTGTCGACTGTGACAAGATGGAGAAACCCTGGACAGGTATGTGATTTTGCTTTTTAGAATGACTCTGAGCAAGAATTCCTAATGCCTCTAAACATAGGTGGGATCTTCTAAGTCCGTTTGACATTTGATCTGTGGGTTCTTTGTAGAGAACACTACGAAAGAATCCTCAGGACTCAGATCGACTTGGTATCTATCACCATACGCATTTGTTCTATTGTTACCATTTATCAAAGATGGGCACAGAACTAGTTGATTTCTAGGTCCCTTTTAGTTCCTGAAGCCAGTGAATTTCTAGTTTTAGAAATAATGCTACCTCTCTGACTATATTTAAAATCCAATGACCTCACCATTATCTTTCTACACATAGGTCCATAATATTTTTAAAGGCAGATAATCTTTAGGGGGTGACATTATCAGTAGTCTGACTTTGCAAGCATGACACTTTGTAAGTTACCTATTATTTAGTACCATGAAGATCAGCTCAGACAACAAATGATGTACCTGGTATGAAGCGGTGGACATTGGCTTAGGGGAGGAACACTTTTATTCTCAAATACCACATTAAAACATTAATATCCAAATTGGTAACCTATATATTCAATAAGATGAAATAATAATCAGAGGCCTGATACAAAGTCAGCTTTCAATATCTGTTTCATTTTCTGTGCCTTCTCTATAATTTGAAATATTTGAGAGAGAGGCCTTGTTGAATAAAAGGCAAGAGAGGTAATAATTCGTAGGCATCTACATGTTCATAAATGACACTTCAGTCTCGTCTCATTTTATTTCACAACAACCCTCTACAGTGATGATTAAACCCTCTATTTTACAGATAGGAAATTTGTGGCTCAAATAAATTATCTAATGTTCAAAATCCAGGATTGGTCTTGAGTTCCTCCTTGCACCATACTGAGGATGCTTCCTAGTCTGCCACATTGTTTCAATTAGAGGGGAAAATCTCATGTACCAATAGTCTCCAAGAAAGTAATTACATTCCTTTTGTGTTTGCAGATTATGCTGAATCTGACTGTGGAAAGGATTCTAGGAACAGCTAGTGTATTTATCTGCATAATTAGCCTGATGTAATTTTTAATCATTTTCTCCTCTTTAAATTGTTACTTTTATTATTTAAAAGTAGTTTGGTCTTTTAAACAGCATATACTTAAAATTAACTTATACAAATCTGTATTATAATTCCAGCTCGGACACTTATTATAACAATACTAACCTTATTGTGAAAGGTTAAAAAAAGAAAATCATTTGAAAGTATCTAGCACAGGGCTTGACATATGGAAAAGTTTCCATGAATGTTTAAACGTGCTACATAAAAATAGTGGAGGATTAAAAAAAATAATAATGAGTTTTCATTTTGTTAAAAAAATGTAAAACTCAATCCCCTCATCATACATATTAATCTTACTACTTGAGGTGGTCATGATCATTATTGCATGAGGTAATTTGAGATTCTGTAGGATACAAGGTTCCATGGAAATTTCCAGTGTCCTGAAACTTCATAGGGTTGTTGCAACTTAAAATATGAAACCACTTGGAATGGATGAAAAGTTCCTCTGAAATCTAGTATCTTTTTTTCATTTATGAATTCATTTACTTTAAACAAAGTGCCAACTGTAGGCCTGGAATGCTATTTCTGTCTCCCTCTGTCTACTGGATGCATGATATTCTTTAGAAGCTTTTTGAATTTTAGTACTTTTTAAATTTATAATTTATTTCTTTGATCTATCATTTATGGTGTCTAAAATGCTCATTTCATCATGTCTGTCATGTATTATTACTTCAATATTTTGTTCATTTATCCAATCATTTTGTTATCTAAGAGATATTTATTGAATGCTCAATTGTGCAGAATACTCTAAGGGGGAAGAAAAAGGTGAACTAAGAATGCCATCTATTTTTTTTTTTTTTAATTAATTTTTGTTACAGATGTTTCTCCTTTTTCCCCCACTGATTCCCCCCTCCCCCTCCCTCCCTGCCCTTTCCCCAGTTGGTTGTCCATGTCCACTGTTCATGCATACATGCATATAAGTTCTGTGGTTCATCTCTCCCCCACCACCCCCTCTCCTGGGGATTGTCAGTCTGTACCCCACTTCCACATCTCTGGGACTACCCCATTCCTCAGACTGTTATGTTCATTATATTCCATAAATAAGTGAGATCATATGAAACTTGTCTTTCTCTGTTTGGCTTGTTTCACTAAGGATGATACTTTCAAGGTCCCCCCATGTAGTCTCAAAGGATAAGAGATCTTTCTTTCTTACAGCTGCATAGTACTCCATTGTGTATATGTACCACAGCTTTTTTATCCATTCGTCTACTGATGGACACTTGGGCTGTTTCCAGATATTAGCGACTGTAAATAGTGCTGCTACAGACATGGGGGTACATATATTATTTCTGATTGGTGTTTTAGGCTTCTTAGGGTATATTCCTAGAAGTGGGATCACTGGGTCAAATGGCAGTTCAATTTTTAATTTTTTGAGGTAACACCATATTGTTTTCCATAGTGGCTGCACCAGTCTGCATTCCCATCAGCAGTGCACTGGAGTCCCCTTTTCTCCACACCCTCGCCAACACTTGTTTGACGATTTGTTGATAGTGGCCATTCTGACAGGTGTGAGGTGATACCTCATTGTTGTTTTAATTTGCATCTCTCTGATGATTAGTGATGATGAGCATTTCTTCATATGTCTCTTAGCCATTTGTATGTCCTGTTTGGAGAGGTGTCTATTGAGTTCCTCTGCCCATTTTTTAATTGGATTCTTTGTCTTCCTTTTGTGGAGTTGTATGAGCACTCTATATGTATTGGAAATTAACCCCTTATCTGATATATCATTGGCAATTATGCTCTCCCATACAGTGGGTAGCCTTTCCGTTTTGATGATTGTATCTTTCGCTGTGCAGAAGCTTTTGAGTTTGATGTAGTCCCATGTGTTCATTTTCTCCTTTGTTTCTATTGCCTTAGGTGATGTGTCTAAAAATTCTGCTGCGTATGATGTCTGAAATTTTGTTGCCTACAGTCTCTTCTAGGATTTTTATGGATTCATGAGTTACATTTAAGTCTTTAATCCATTTTGAGTTTATTCTCGTGTAGGGTGTAAGTTGATGGTCTAGTTTCATTTTTCTGCAAGTAGCTGTCCAATTTTCCCAGCACCATTTATTAAAGAGGCTGTCCTTACTCCACTGTATGCTCTTGCCACCTTTGAGAATGACATCTATTTGTATGGGTATTATTTTTGTCCACCCAATTTGGAACATCTGTAGCCATTCTGTAACCACAACAGATGTTAGTCTGGAGAAGCCAACACACAGGGGAGACCAAGCCAAGAGAACCATAGAGAAATACAACCAAAGCCATTGTAACACACCAATTCTGAAACCTGCCTTCTCTTTGGAGTTCTATTCCCACAACCTTCATGAACTATTTCTATATCATATAAGCTGAATTCAGTGCGATATTTCTGTTATTTGCAGCCCAAGATATTTTAATTGATATACATACTCTTTACTCTTGTGTTACTGCCTAAATTCCTCAAGATTAGGAATGGTTTATGAGTTCTGACGTTGATGGACACAGTTTGGAACCTGTGGGGGGTACCCAGAATTTGAACCCAGATACTTCTGATTTTATAGATCAGGATTTCACATAGCATTAAAAATAAGGATTCTTAATGTTTTCCCCATTCCTTAAACTCTTCTTTGAAACCCATCTAATATGAAAGGTGACCTTCCAAACCGGTGTAAAAAAAGTTCTTTTTTACTTACTAGTTAATGTCAACATTATCTACACACATTTTGCTCTCTTGATTTGAGAAAAATTCCATTAATTTAGTGCCTGATATTAATAAAATAATTGTTTTTGGTAAAGGAAGATAATTTTCAAAATTTGAAGTAACCACGATTTTAAAGGCACTTTATTTTTCATAAATTCTAATATTAGTAGTAACAAAGCATAGCAATAAGTATTTGTATCATGGGTTTCAGTCTTCAGAGCTTTTTTCTCTTATTTATTCCAACCCAGCAACCTCGTGTAGTTAGAAAGAGTGGACATTTGTTGATTTATGACTGTCCAGCATCCATTAATTTGAGGCACCTAACTAGCCCCCCCCCCCTTTTTTTCTCAGTGAGACTATAAATCAATGTCCACTGCTCTCCTAATAGAGGACCAGAGGCCCTGGAGGCTGGTGCAAACTCCTCCCTCCAGACTCTCTCTTACAGGTTTGTGAGCTATACTTAGTCAATCTGGCTCTTTCTCCCACAACTTTGCATGATGTGTCAAGTGGCTCGCAGCAGGGAAAATCAGTCTGACACTTTCATTCCTGGTGTGGCACTCTGATGAGACACTAGGATGCTTTTGTTGCCTGGATCCTGTCCTTTTGCACTTTTTCTCATCCTGGGCACTAGCTTATCAGTTTCCTTTGTGAGATCTTTGACAACATTCCAGTAAATGTCCTTTTTGCTTAATTTAACTAGATTCAGACTGGGTTGCTTCCAGGAAGGAACTCTAACAATGGAGAAAATGTAGTAGTAGCCTTTTAAATCTCTATATTGTGTATGAGAATGTAGAGTTGCAGTTAAACAGCAAAAAGTGAAGGCAGACCTTTAATAAGATTCAGAGTGTTCTGATATTTCTATTGCTCTTTCAGGTAACTCTTTATTTTTTTAATATCATTTGGGTATTCCTTGTGTGAAAGCAAGAGTTGAACATAATTTCACCTTGAACCCTGCATAAGCTAAAATTATCTTTGGCGGAATTAACAACAACAACAACAAAAATAATTCAAAGTAAAAGTGTTTTAAGCAAGATAATTTTTTTTCTCTCTTTTAGTTAAGCTAAATCTAAAGGTAAGGGCTGGTTTAGCAGACATGAAAAGTTGTCAGGTAGGGCCAAAGCTTCTTCTAGGTAACCTTTCAAATATTCCTAGAATGTGGCTTTTGTCCTCATGATCCAAGGTGGCCTACATGTGTTTCCATGTCCAAGGTCAAGGAGAGAACTGCAGAAGCGCATGCCCATATCCTTT